TCGGGGATCTAAGTATTAAATGCAGAAGTCGTTGCCACGTGAAGGGGAAGACACTCTGCCTAAGATTTGTGCACCACATGTTGTCTTCCAAGTGAGCCAATCAGGGGTCCTTCTCGCCAAGGAACCCAGTCATCCGCCATGATTAGCCCCTAAGAGGTATAAGTAGCTCCTAAGAGGTATAAGTAGCATTCTCAAGCTCAAGTCCATGGTATGCAACCCCTTACCCAAGTAATAGAATAGTGTTTTTCCAACTCTCTATAAAATACTGACTTGATCGTCGGAGGGGTCACACAAGAAGACACTCTGATGTCCTTCTAACCCCTCTTTTTGAGTGATAGGATCTTGTTCGAGAAATCAGGAGTGAATAGATTATGTGTAGAGAGTTCCATCACCGTTCATTGCATTCCACTCGATGAAGGACATTCAACTTCCCAAGCAAGTTCGAGCTCACCAGGGGAGAGATATGTCATTTTATTCATTATGCTAGAATCATCCCGCACAATTTGGCGTCGTTTGTGGGAAAACGACCAAGTTTTCTAGTGAATGACCATGGTAAACACGCGCTTGAAAGGAAAGGGCCCTTAACAAATGAATATAGACATACCAGCTCCTTCCACATATAGAACGGAGGATCAAGTCAAAAGTTTCAACAAGGAACTTTCAATCCACTCTAGGTAAAGAACCCACCAAACTAAACTGAGTCTTAGGGGTGAAAGGGAAGGGCCCCTTGCCCATCAACTCATCGATCTCATTGAGGAACAGTTGGGAAACCATCTGAAGCAAATCAAGGAGATTAGTGTAAATGTTCTCAATAGACTTGATGAGTTCATGCTCTTTAGTGGGATTTCTCAAAGCATACAACTGTCTAGGGAGCCCCGTGTAAAAAAGATGGGGGCCAATGGACAGACCCGGGTTTCTCAAACCATCTTAGTAGCAGTGTAATAGGCCTCAAGGACCCAGAGCTTCTAGGTAAAAGGGCTAGGCCCTTGGCTTGGAATGACCTCTGTCAAAGACTGTCTGAGCGAGGGGGCAGATGGGATTCTGATGGGGGTCAACCCTCTTTGTGAATGACAGAGAACCCAGGCAACATGCAACTCGCCGTGGCCCTGGTGATCGGAGGCACCACAAAGACGAGGAAGACTTGAGGTCCAAATTAGACTCAATGAGAATGGATAGGTCCGCTCACAATTATGACGTTGATATAGGCGACGAAGCCATACAATTACCATTCACTAAGAACATCACAAAGGTGGAGGTACCAAAGAAGTTTGTTGTGCCATGATTCAAAGTTTATGATAGGCGTTTCGACTCGGAGGCTCACCTTTGACAGTATAAGTAGTTGATGTCCTTGTACTACTCAAATCATAGGTTGTTGTGTTGGGTATTCTCAATGTGCCTAAGTGATATGGTTATGAAATGGTTCCAAACCCTTCCACCAAATAGCATAGGATCCTGGAAAGAGCTAACAAGCCAATTCTCCACGCGATTCATCTCAGGGAGAAAACCCCCCAAGGATGTGGGGTCCTTGTTGACTCTTTAGCGGAGAGAAGGTGAGACACTCTACCAATATGTCACTCGCTACTGGGAGGAGGTGAACGAGGTGGAAGGATATTTTGAAGTCATGGCAGCTAACTTTTTTCTACTTGGTCTGTCCTGGAACACAAACCTTTACAGATCCTTGACGAAGCTAACGCCGGTGTACATGTGTGAGTTGATGGCCTATATCAACAAGTACTCAGGGATAGAAGACAAGTTGACAGAGAGTAAAAGAAAAAACTTAGCTCCTAAGAAAAAAGATAAGGAAAAAGAGGAAATCCCCCCTAAGAAAGGTTTGATTCGGGCATCGGGGAATTCCTTTAGGGGGATCCTCACTATGTTTAAGGAACCTATCTACAAGCTGTTACACAAGATTAAGAAGGAGTCATTCTTCAAGTGGCTGCCCAAGATGCAGGGCGATCCTTCCACCAGGAATCAAAATGCCAAATATTCATACCACAAGGATATGGGGCACCTAACTGAGAATTACCGAGTATACAAGTTGTTTCTAGAGAAGTTGGTTTAAGAGGGACACCTCTAGGAGTATATTGAAAAGGAGACACCGAGGGAGATAAATGTCGTTGTTGCCTGCACCACTATCCATGATAATGTAATTGATGTCTTTCCACGGCTACCCTCTGGAATGGATGACAACCAACACTATCAAGTTTGACTTGAAAAAAGTAGCCTTTGCTAAAAAGGTGGATGAAAACGAGGGAGGCCTAAATATTAAGAAGCCACGAATGGATCAAGGTGGCATCATTTTCCCAAACGCCGACCTAGCAGGTGTGGAACTTCTCCTTGAAGATGCCTGATCATAACTCTACGTATTTTGAACTTCGACATCAAGAGGATCCTGATTGAATTAGGGAGCACCTCGCAGGTAATGTACCTTGAGGTGCTCAAGTGGATGGGCTTTGAGTCCAAAGATCTGACCACTGTCAAGACATCCCTTGTTGAGTTCAATAGATTGTTACCTTTAGGGAAGATTACTCTACTAGTTAGCATAGGACTTGTCACTATCAATACGAAGTTCGTGGTGATCGACTTTGATTCACCGTACAACAAAATTGAAGTTTCCAACACTAGATGGGATAATGGAGATCTGTGGAGACCAAGCCTCATCAAACAATTGTTTTTACGCCGCCATGAACGCCGAGGTCCTGTTCAAGCAAAAGGAACATCCCTTGTAGGAAGTGTTGAACAAATAACAACTACAATCGGGGCGGTTGGGGGGTCGACGAGTCATGAATTGACCTAGTCGACCGCTCCATGGAAGACCTCCAAAAGGTACTCCTAAAAGAAGGCAACAAGGAAAGGTACGTCCTACTTGGCTCGACCATGTCCATGACCAAGCAGGAGGATATGGCAATTTTCCTGAGCAAAAATGTAGACATGTTTGCATGAGATGCCACAAAGATAAAAGGCATAAGTCCTAATGTTATAACTCACTGGCTCCAAGTTGGTCCTAATCATAAGCCCATCAAATAGAAGCCTCGACGTGTGGCACCACACCATGCCCAGGCAGTGAACGAAGAGGTAGAGCACTTCCTAGATGCCGACGCCATCTAGCAGGTGCAATTTCCCAAATGGTTATCAAATACTGTTTACGCAAAAAAGAAGAGTGGGAAGTGGTGTGTCTGTGTGGATTTCATGAATTTGAACAAGGCTTGTCCAAAATACAATTATCCCTTACCCAAGGTTGATCAGTTAGTCGATGCTATGGCGAGATACGAGCACATGACCTTCATGGACGCCCAATCCAATTTCCACCCATTGACTAGTCCTTGGTCGTTCGCCCCATGGGGACTCGACTTGGTTGGACTCCTTCGAAATGCCCTTGGGAATAAGAGGTTCCTAATAGTCAAGATCGAATCACAAAGTGAGTTGAAGTTGAGCCATTAATGCATATCAAGGACACGAATTCCAAAAGATATGTATGAAATAACATAGTGACAAGATTCGGGATCCCACGCGTGCTTGTATCAGATAATGGACTTAGTTTAATATCGGGCCTTTCAAATCTTAATGTGAGCATCTTGGGATTTGGAATTACTACTTTACGCCTTCGTACCCTCAAGCCAACGGACAAGAAAAATCTTCAAATAAGACTATCGTCAATGAAATTAAGAAGACGAAGGAGAAAGTTAAGGAAAAGTAGGTGGACGAGCTCCTGAACGTTCTCTGGTCTTACAGGACGACTCCATATACCTCGACGGGTGAGACACCATTTGATACGGGAAAGAACGATCAATAACTTAACCTAGACTTGGATCTCGCCTTGCAATTAGCAAAATACCAAGTAGGGGTATCTAAACTCTACAATAAAGAGTTAACCCCCAAAAATTTCAAGCAGGCTACCTGATGCTTAGAAGGGTAGTCTGGAACACTCGCAACCCAGTCGATGGTAAGATGGGACCTAAATGGGAGGGACCACACAGAGTCATATTGATAGGAGGTTCTGGATCAGACAAAATAGAGGACATGAAAGAAAATGCCATACTTTAGCCCTAGAATGTAATGAAGTTGAAAAAGTACTATTTTTGAATGGAAGAACTTATTTTTTCCAAGTATGTTGTCCAGGAAGGGGCATGGCCCCGGAGGAGAGATGCACGTACTACCCTCGCCACCGAAAAGATAAAAGAAAATCGAACTTTTCAATGGGGCATGGCCTCAGGGGAAAAGTCTTTAGGAAGACTCTTACCCCCAATGAGACAAAGGGAGCAAAGCTTCTTGGAGGGGGTATGGCCCCGGGGGGCAGAGTATTTGGGAAGACTCTTGCCCCCTAAGAGACAAAGGGAGCAAAGCCTCTTAAAGGTAGGGGCATGGCCCTGAGAACAAAGTTTTCAAAAGAGACTTACCCCCAAAAAGACCCAAGGAGAAAAACCTCCTACAGGGGGCATGTCCTTGGGGGAAAAGTCTTTAGGAAGGATCTTGTCCCCAAATAGACAAAAGTAGCAAACCCTCATAGAGGGGGCATAACCTCGGAGGCAAAATCTTCAAAAAAGACTTGCCACCAAAAAGACCCAAGAAGCAAAGCCTCCTGGAGGAGGCATGACCCCAGAAGCAAATTCTTTAGGAATAATCTTGCCCCCAGAGAAATAAAAGGAGCAAAGCCTCTCTTGGAGGGGGGTATGGCCCCAAAGGCAAAGACTTCAAAAAAAGACTTGCTCACAAAGAGGCCGAGGGAGCAAAGCCCCCTAGAATGGTGCGACTCCTAGATCAAGACTGCAAAGAATACTAGATCCCCAATAAAAGAAGATGAAATTAAAGATATGTAAAAAAAAAATCATTCTTATATTTAAAAGGAGGAGGAATTTGAGTCCCTTAAGCTACAGAGATAAATTTAAGGAAAACACAAAGAAACTGAAATAGCTCTAAGAAGGACCGCTGACATCACCCCTGATGCACTCCTCAATGTAGCAAAAGAGTTCATTGATGCTAGCAAAATAGGAGTTGACACTCTAAGGAACAGGAACGATATCAGCATAAACAGAGGAGACATTGCTCTGAGGAGTAGGAACATCGTCGATAGGAGCAGATGATGCATCAGCCTGAGTGGCAGGAGCGACATCGATAGGAGTAGGGGTAGCTTGGATTTGAGGGGTAAAATCAGCTTGAGGAATAGGAATAGGGGCAGCTTTCTCAACCGACAGGTTTTGATCTGAGTTTAGAGAGACCCCCGCATCCTTAGCTTGAATCTCAACCGCTGCTTGCTCGATCTTGATGAAAGGAGTATATTCATGTTCTTTGAAGAATAGGGACTCGGTAGGAACCCCAGTAGGATGAAGTGCCTCATCCCATCCATTTTTGAAGAACTCCCTCTTTGTCTTCTCAACCACCATCGCGAGGTCATCAGCATAACAGTTGAATATCTCCTGCTTTGATTGAATATTAGCCTGTAGTTCAAACCTCACTTTGTCTAACTCTTGGGTGAGGGAGGCACAATTTTGCTTTGACTCGGCCACCTTTTCCTTGGCCACAGATGTCAGCTTCGTAGCCTCGGTCATCCTCTTCTCAGCATCAGCCAATGGGGCCTTGATCTTGTCAGTCTCTGCCTTGGCACTTTGACCTTCTTTGAAGAGGTCGACAATTTATGTCCCCTAGGTCTTGTCCTGAGTTTCCACCTCCTCCTTGGCTGCATCAAGCTCTTATCAGGCTTGTTCAAGGTTGGAGTGAAGTTTCTCACATTCCTAGATCTTGGCCCGATGTTGCACGCTCTATGGATGATAGATACCTGTTGTGCCGCCTAGAAGACAAAAGGAAGAAACTGAAAGGCAAAGGAATTCGTAAACGTAAAAATCAACACAAGTGTTGTAATCTTACCACTAGAAAGCTCTAGATGAGGGAGAAAAAAGTTGGTTGCTCCTGCATGCCTAGTGGACCCCCATATAAGTGTTAAAATGAAGGGCTTCACTCATGGCATAGGCAACATTAGGAAAGCCACAATGGAGCTAGACACTCAAATCGACTCATTGTTATGATTTCTAGCCTAAACACGCTATTTTGGAGCCAGAGAAACAAATGACCCATTCTGACCACTAGTAGGTGTTGATGTTGACGTTGGCGTCGATGTATGAGAAGGGGCACCCCTGTCGTGACTAGCCCCATCATGCCTTTGTTTTATTCTCCTCCCCTTAGTATGAGGATCTTTATTGTGGTCACTTTCATGGTTGGGTGTTGACGCCATTAGAGCATCGATAGGAGATGGACCAAGTGGTGGAGTCACCCTCGAAATCACAACCCCAGAAGGATGAGTTCATTCCATGTTGGAGGAAATGTCCCTGGGCCCCAAATTACGCTCTTAACCTGCAACAAATATAGCTCTGGCTATGATCCCATCAAGTGTGAGTTGGGGTGGGTTGGACATGGTGACCTCTAGGGCATTTTCCTCCTCGAAGTTTTGGAGAATTTTGAAGGTAGGCCAATTATCCCTCCTTGAAGTACTCTCCTCAGCGCCAGTGGTGTTGGATGGTTTTCTTTCTACCTCGACGTCAACAGTTTCACCCTAGTCTCTCTCTACCTTGGCGTTGGTGACTTGGTCAAGGTCTTCCTCCAAGTTCTCACTAGTTAGCTCCCTCCACCTAGTTGGGCCAAAATCTTGGGAGGTCTAAGAAAAATTTTTATACCTCGAGGTGTAATCAAGCAACACATGAGCAACTCGGCCAAAATTGTTGTTCACATATCCCCAAACGATGAAGAGGTCAGTGAGGTTGACAAGATTCTGAGGAGGAGGGGAAGACTCGACGTAAGTGCCTCTTGTAGAAAGAAAAAAGAGAGATTAGAGACAAAGTATAAATAAGTTGAGGAGTTGGAAGCCGAACACAGAGAGAGAGAGCCTAACGTACTTATAGTCCACCACTGCTTGGAGCACCAAAAATTGGCGTACTTGGGGTCAACTATTTTTTCCCATTGGCTGTCGAAGATGAGCATGTCATCCTTATACCCCTTGTCAGAATCTGACAGGTGTGTTAGGAGGTACATGGTTGGGTCTCGGGCTTGGAGGTAGAACTTATGTTGAGGCATCACCCTCACCAACATGTAGCACAAGATGATGTCTTCCAAGCTAAGATTGACTTGAAGACGACCACTTCCATAATGATCCTAAAAATGTGTAAACAACACTACTCCAGGAAAGGACTAAAACTGGGATAGGAGATGAAGAAGGATGGGGTGGAGGGGAAATCTTATGCCACCCTCTATGATGGCCATGGTGAAAAAGGGCATGGCTACCTTAGCCCTGACTTCGGGATGGTGGAGTTTGGGTACGAACTCGTTTATAGTCTCCCTGATGGGAATCAAATGGTGGGTTTTGAAATTGGTGATTTGCTGGCGACCTTTAATCGTGTATTTCCTCTTTCTTGAGGAACAAGTATCATCAACACTAGCACCAGTATTCCAACGATGCTTCGTCATGGAAGGGGAGAAAAAGACTCGAGAATGGGGTTCTAAGGGTGGATTAACTCAAGGAGGGAGACATAAGGGGATAATCACTACTAAAATAAGAAGGAGGAAACAGTTACTCACCAATAGGATTGACTGAAACCCAGAGGCAAAAAGAAGAGCAGTTCTCACCATAAATAGAACTTTGAAAGAGATGGGGAGTGGAGGTAAATGTTTTTCTTCGGCGAACTCAAGGAAGGTGATTGTTTCTAGATGAACTGTTGCCTCTTAGAAGGAACTCTGATAGACTCCCTTGAACTCATTGGATTGGCAAAAGTGGAGGAGGACGAGGAGGTCTCTGTTTGAATATGACCAAGGGTTATTATTGCTCATGGTGAACGAAGCAGAACATTAAATGCGGCAAAGACCCCACAGGCAAAAAAGCGGCTACACGAAGAGACATAGGATCAAGCCCTTTCATCTTCCTCTACTGCATCATATGGTCCGTACAAAGATCAATGGATGTGTGGCAATTTATGGGATATTTTTGAAGATTGATAGGGAGACAACACGTGTCCTCAGCATAGTGGCCTCATAGCTTCCATGGAATGACATGTGTCCTCGGCTCGAGTTCCCTTGAAGCATCCCCTACTTGACACATGTCCTAGACATTTATGTCCTCGGACCATTCCCTGCTTGACACGTGTCCTCGACACTTATGTCCCCAGAGTATTCATTGCTTGACAAGTGTCCTCAGCGCTATTGTCCCCAGGGCGTCACCTACTTGACACATGTCTTCGACACTTAGGTCACCAGAGCATTTTTTGCTTGACATGTGTCCTCGGCATAAAGCCATTAACTCTAGTGAAACATGAATAGCTATTTTGACATTTATTTTCTTCCAAATGATGATGTTAATATTTCAAAGAAAAAAAGGGAGGTTAGCTGATGCATGCATACCCACGATCGAGGTAAAGCAGAACATCATTACTTGGAAGTGGGTTTGGCTATCAATCATCAATCACCCTTCCCAAAGAAACCAAAATGGTTGGAAAGACAGTTTAGTAACCAGTGAGGAAGAAGTACGGAGTACAAGACTTGTAATTCCTGACCCCTTGGGGGGCTAATGGAAAAAAATGCCCCTACGCATGTTCAACCACAACAAGAGCGCATTAAATGACCCCACAGAAGGATGGGTCATATTTTTTGCTTGGTAAAGTCAAAAAAGTGAACATTAAATGCTCGGAGATTTGAGTATTAAATGCAGCAGCCTCTACCATGTGAGGGGGAAGACACTCTGCCCAAAGTCTGTGTACTATATGTTGCCTTCCAAGTGAGCCAATCAAGGGTCTTCCCTCAAAGGGATCCAATCATCCGCAATGATTAGTTCCTAAAAGGTATGAGTAACACTCTCAAGCTCAGTCCAAGGAATGCAACCCCTTACCCAAGCAATAGAATAGTATTTTTTTCAACCTTCTCTCAAATACTAACTTGATCGTTGGGAGGGGAGTCAGCCGGAAGACACTCCAACATCCTTGTAGTACTAACTTGTAGTACTCAGCCTCCGGTGGAACAAATAAAATACTAGGAGCTCATCACGTTCGAACGCCAATAGAACATTTGAACACCATAGCTCACAGTACTATAGTCTCTGACAGAACTCAAAAGTACTAGGAACTCACTACGTTTAAACGCCAGGTTCACGTTCGAACGATCCTTTTAAAATTCTTCTAGACACATTCAAACGTCAGTGACATTTGAATGTTGATACCCAGGATATAAATACCTGGTTCGCCTTCCCCAGTTAAAAAATGTCCAAAATCCTTGAAAACCTCCAAACCCTAGGCTGACCCTTCACTACCCAAGCTTCAAAACACCACCCATTCTCAATTTCTACAAAAAATCAAGCAAACCAAACACATTCCACCTTATTTCTTACTCTTTTCACCAAGAAAATCAAGCTTTTCAAGCCCTAACACCCCCAAACCCGAAAACTATGCCTCCAAGAGTAAAGCTTCCTGCTAGATGCAACATACCCACTCAAGAGCCTAACATGGCATAGGAAGCCATTGAGGAGAGAGAGGGGAGGCCCATAGTCCAAAGGTATGATCGAATCCACTTCCCCAACACCCTCAAGGCAGGCAGGTATGAGAATTTCTATTGAAACCAAGTTGTGGTTTGTAAGCAGACTGTGATATTAACTGATTTTGCGGAGTTGGAAAATTTTGAGAACTTTGAGGCGAGGGGATGGATGTTGTACTTGAGAAACAAAGGAGAGGCCGTGATTGACTTGGTGTAGGAGTTCTACTCCAATGCCGAAATAGTCAAAGGGACGATAAAGACTTATGTGAGGGGAAATCATACTGACGTGGATGAGGATTACATCTGAGAGATAAGGCAAGAGGTGCCTCAGGTACCAAGGCCAACCTACCCCCCGAGGAAGAAGGTGGACATGGATGTGGTGGGTATGGAGTTGATGGGGTTGGCCACCTTTTCATGGACAGGGAAAAGATTTTTTCGGCAAGGGGAGTTAACTGACAAGTATAAAATATTGAATTTGATTGCGGTCTTGAACTTTGCCCCAATCAGGCACAAGAATGAGATCATCCTCGATATGGCTCGATTGCTATACGCAATTGGAAGGGGCTATAGCATAGACCTCCCCATGTTGATTTTGATAGAGATAATGAAGGGATGCGATGTGAAGAGGAACTCACTCCCTTTCGGCACCTTGGTGACTGAGATGTGCACGGACCATGGGATTAGGGTGAGGCCAGAGATGATGATAAAAAAATCAATAGGGCGATTGAACAAGTCTTCCTTCCGAAGGAGCTAAGGTCATAGTGGCAGCCTGATAGCTAAATAAGAGGTGCATCCTACCTGAGGCACCGATGAGGTGTAGGATGTGTTGGATGAGAAGGAGGAGAGAAAGCTAGAGGCTGAGAGAGCCCATGAGCAGACCCAAGAGAAGGCAGGGCCTAGTACCATCACTAGCACCCGGCGATCACTTCGAGAGATCATGCTTAGCATCAAAGCTAAGTAGGATGAGATTCTTCACCTTCTGAGGGGTGGAGCCAGTGGAGATGAGGGAGAGTGCGAGAGAGATTTATATTCTTGAGTGTGGTTGTGTTTTTGTTACTTATATTGTGGATGAGTTGAATCCTTTGTTTTTGTGTTAAACTATCATACTTTGTGAAAAGAATTGTTCAATTTTATCACTTTTATCTTTGTAAATTCATGTGTAGAATTAGCATTATATCGTTATTTATTAATGGATGATGGAAAAAATGTGGATTCTGAGATTGTTTGTTAAAATGACTAATCACATGATCAGCTTGACACCTAATTTAGCAATCTAGACTTACCACCAAATGTCTTGGAAAAATGGTGTTTTTTCTATACTCAATTGTCAAATGTACATTGGTATTTGTTATTCTTAAGGTATAAGATGATCAGACTCGAAAATGGAATCAATATATAACTGACATTCCATGAAAAAAAGCCCGACATAACTAGTGGAGATAACAAAGAATACCATGGTAAGTTTCAAGCCTTGCGATGCTTTTGAGAGGATATCAACATGTACTCAAGTAAGGTTTCTCACTGTCTATCCTTGAATAATCTCATTAAACTTGCTTTGATTGACACAACTGAAGTGATCTATTAACATGTCCTACAAGGAATCTATTCATATGACACATACATATGCCATTCTTGAGAAAGGATCTTAGGCCATTTTTGATTTGGTTTCGAGCTTTAACCATTTCTTTTATAAAATTATATCCCTAGTTAGCCATGTTTGAGCCTTCAATGAATGATATCTTTTTCAACATATGATAACCGAGCCATAAAAATATACTTGACATACCTTTGCTATCTAATTTTCTTACACCTTCTTATATATAAGTATGATACCAAAAAAAAAAAAAGAAAGGGAAAAGACAAGAGTGGATACTGTTCAATGAAAGAAAAGTCGGTGGAAACAATTGAAAAAGAAAAGAAACAGAAAGACAGGAAATTACCAAGAAAGTGAAAAATGAGAAAAATAAAATAAAGAAATACCATTTCTAGGTAAAATGTCGAAAAGCTAAAAAGAGGTGTGTGCTACACTACATAATGAAATGATAGCTTTTGAATACCATTGACGTCGTTTCGTTAGCCACTGACCTCTAACCACATTACAACCTATTAAAAGCCCTAATTCATCTCAAGTTTGATGTATGTGTAGATTGTAACCAAAAGTTGGGGAATGTTAAATAGTATTTCTCTATTTACATCAATATTCTTCCATGAGATTATGACAAACATGATTAGTCTGTTTCCTTAAACATCACTCTTATACTAATTGTGCATGTGATTTTTTGATTGGCCCACTTCTGATCACATGCCCTTTGAGTGCCAAGTCACTATAATCAGAGCGAATATTTTGCTGAGAGTATTCTAAGAGAGATTTAAAATCAAAGCAATCCATGGAAGGTGATAAAGTTGAATGTTTGTTATATACAGTTCTTGTCGCTAGAATGATTATACTGACTACATCAAGAATTTCAAATATAAATGAGACAGATGCTAATTTTTGTATAGAATAAAAACCTATGAAAGAGACATATGTGGGATATGAATTGAGATTGAAGGTCGGGTGTCCCAACGACCATGATGCTAACTCGCTTTAATCAGAAATCTCGCATACACATCTGTTCGACTGAAGTTTGGAGGTAACTTCACTGAAAACCCTCATGAGACAACACTCATCCGCTAGGGTAAACCTGGTGGTTTAACATCTTGTTGCATATGTTAAATGCAACTAGATGACCTACGAAAATGGCCCTTTAAATAAATTCACATTCAATTGTTGTTGTATTGCTAGAGACTAGCAATATTTAGGTTGAGGGTGTGATTAGTAGTTAAAATTAGCATATCACTATGCCTTTTTTAAGACTAATTATACTTTGATAGAGTTTAAATGATGACATTTCAGGATATAAATTGTACAAATGTCCAAAAGCAATGAATATCAAATTTTCATGCAACACCAGCAGGCCCTGGGACAAAATTGGAGAAGGTTGGAACAAAGCAAGAACGTTCGAACGCCAACTCCCGTTCGAATGTTCCCTTGAATTATTTGAAGACCATACTACTGAAATGCTGAGACATGGCGTGTTGCAGCTAAGAAGGAAAACACTAAAGTACTTGGG